TTAGGTGGAGTTTTGGGGGGTGCCCCTAACCCATGCAACGTTGAGGGGTCAGGTCTACACTGAGTCGGTGGGTGTCCAGCTCTCCGCAGGTTATGCAGTCGATGTGATTTCTTACAGCAGTCATAAGGAGTAGGTTTTGCTATTCCCATTTCGTGGGTGTCAGGAAACTGACACTCGGGAGTTAAGGAACAAGCCCGAAGTCACACAGGTGGACACGGCCAAGCTAGAAGCACGGTGGCACAGGAGAGCTTGCACATGTGGGCACTACCATGTGTGTGGACAGAGCTCCGGCTGTGGGCACAGCTGTCTCTGATGAGAGTTCAAGTCCTGGTTTGACTGCCTACCTGCACCGTCAAATCCCCTCCCCTGCCGGATCCACTTCTGTCTGTGTAGACGGAAGACAGCGTGTGCCAGCATTTGTTCTTTCCAGATCCGGCACTTGCTGAGGAGACACTCCTAGAGGTCAGGTGCTTATTTTTTCTCAGCATGCCACAGGGGAGCCACTGCAATACACAAACCCTGGCATGTCTGCTTACCAGGCCCCTCCCTGCTAGGACAGTCTATCCCCCAGGAAACAGAGCCGCTGCCTCCGCCCCAGCCCCTCCTTCCCTGACCTTTGCTCTCGCCGTAATGAAAAATTAACTGGGCTAATGTTTCTCTTCCAAGGACAACCTCTGCAAACGCGGCCCTGGCTGGGCCCCAGGAGACCAGGCACCAGGACAGAGTAGAATCCATCTGGAGCCGCCCACCTACTCTCAGCTGGTAGGTGAGAGGCCATGTAGGGTCCCCTCTGCACCCAGAGGATTCCACCCTTCACCTCCCACCCCTGGGCTGTGGGCTTAACTCCTCCAACTCTCCTCATGGGGAAACTGAGGCCAGAGAAGAAAGAACTGGCCAGAAGTGGAACTCGCTGGGCTCCCACGTGGGTCGAGCACTGCTTTCTGCACACAGCTGTCCTCGTCACATGGATGCGGGCGTGGGAAGGAAAGCAGGGTTCAAGCACACTAACCTTGTCTCCTGCCTTCAGGAAAATGAGCGGCCTTGGGACCAGCAGTTACTGTAATGGCTATGTCGCTGGACTCCCATGTAGCCAACCGCGGTTCGCGTCCCGGACCCGGTGGCTTAAAACTCATGCCGGGCACGTGTGCATGCGTGCCCAGGATGCCGAGAAGAGAATAGAGGAGAAGGGATTGTGGAGTGGCCATCCCCCCGGGGGGTGATTTCTCCCTTTCTATCTCTCTGTCTGTCTGTCTGGCGAGTGCACGTGCCTTATAGCAAAAACGTCTCAAGAAAAAAAAAAAAAAAAAAGGAAAATGAGCGGCCCACTGGAAACTGGGAAGTCGATCTCATAGAAGTAGAAGGTAGAATGGCGACTCCCAGAGGCTGGAGAGTGTGGGGGTGGAGGGGACGAAGAGATGTCGGTATGTGGGCACAAGATTACAATCAGACACGAGGAGTAAGTTCTGGTGTACTATGGCACAGTATGGTGACTACCGTTGTCAATGACTTCGATATTCGAGTGGCTAAAAGAGATGGTTTTTTATAAACGTTGTGTGTGTGTGTGTGTTTGCCATAGGGTGTGTGGGCTTGCCAGGGAGAGGTGGGGAGTGAGCAGTCACGACCTGGATGGAAGGCCGTGCAGCAATCCCTTCTCCATTTCCCTCTCAGTACCTGGGCACACAGACACGAGCACCCAGCGTGGTTCCCAGGTCTCGGCTCTGAGCCTCGAACAGCGTAGTCAGTCCTGTGGGATGCAGTCACCCTAGCCATCATGACGCCAGCTGCCGAACGGGGAGGACTGTGAATGTTCCCCGTGCAAAGCAATGGTAAGTGTAGGAGACGGTAGATACGCTAACTACTCTGGATTGACCACTGCACATTCGATTATTTACTGAAAAGAATCATACCGTATCCCACAAACGTGTGCAATCATCGTATGTCAGTTACATTTTTAAAAAGAAGCTTTTAAAATGAGCAGAATGAGGGACCAGCAGGTGGCATGCTGGTTAAGGTGCTGGACACTCCCACATGGCTGACCACGGTTCAAGTCCTGGACCTGGTAGCTTGCTTTCTCACTTTCTCTCTCTTAATCTTTCTCTCTCTGTGTGTGTGTGTCTCTCTCTGGTCAATTTAAAAAATGAATGAATGAATAAAATAAATAAATAAGTAAATAAATACAATTAAGAAAATAATTTTAAAATAATGAGCAGAATGAATGAGGACTCCTGCTGTCGAGATTTTAGAGGGCGATGTACTTGCCAGGCCCTCGCACTGCGTTGTCCCGGCTGTTACCTCCACAGAGCAGATCGCCTCACTCTCCCTCCTCTCCCGGTGCGCGGAGCACGAAGGGCTTGCACTAGAACACCTCGCTGCTCCTTCTGGACTCGCCCCTCCACACAGCGAGCACCTCCGCTTCACCCTTCGAGCTGAGAGGCGAAGGAGGGAAAGTGGCAGGATTCCCAGCCGGGTCACCCCCCAAGCCTGGGCTCCTTCTGTCTGGCTGCCTCTCACTAGCAGGACCTGCTTGGTTTGATGTTGAGGTTTAAATGAATGTTTTGCTGGGGTCCATCTTTGTGGCCTCAGGCACTCCCACCCCTTGGGGTTTCTCTAGTCTGTGAGCTCCTCCAGGTTAGGGAACGCCTTCCTCATTGCAGAGGTCCCAGAAGGAGTAGGAGGGCGGAAACATAAAGGCGCCCTCCGTGTGTGTCTCACTGAACCCAGACCCCTCGCTGCACGGCTCTTGGTGGCATGAGCCATTCAAAGTGTTCTCAGATGACCCCCACGATCTGCCTCGGAGGGTAAGAGGAGAGCCGTCTCAAGCCCCATTTTACAGGGCGAGCAAACATTACCGGTAGCGCAATGGCTTTGCAAAGAGCTCTCTCTATCCCTGATGTCATCTTTGCCTTCCAGAAGTCCAGAGGCAGCTGGGTGCAGTGGCAGGATCCTGCTGCCCCAGGCTTCACAAAGCACTGGGTTCAGACCCCAGCTCTGCCACGTGGAGACCCGAGTCCATTGTGCCTGCGGTGCCTCATCTGTCCTGGCGAGTCCTGGGGACATCTGCTTTAAGGGCCCTGGCGGCCGCCCTGGGACTACCTGTGATGAGGAAAGTAAGGGCCGCCGGCTCTGCTGAGGGCTGGGAAGGGAGAGTGATCTAAGGCTCCCGGAGCCCAGGTTGGCAGGTGGACCAGAACCAGGTCATTACGCCACAGTCAGGGGCCAGGGTTCCTGCGAGCAGTTAGGGAGCTGGGAGGAGAGGAGGGCCCAGGGGGCAGGCTCAGTGGCAGCCCCAGCTGACAGGCTGTGGGCGGCGGCTCTCTGCGACCCGGCTAGGGCCCCTGCAGCTTCAGGGCTGGCGGTGGATTCCGCCACACCTCACAGTGCTTTGTACCTCCCCGCCCGCTCGGGGGTTTGCGGATAACTTCTTTCTCACCACCCGGCTGGGGGTAGGTAAGCAGGGGGCGGGGTTTCCTGCTCTTAAAAACAAACGAAGGTCTTAGATACCCGGCTAGCCCGATGGGACCCGCGGCAGTGGGAGAAAGGCCCCGGGGGCCTGGCCGCTCCAGGCAGAGGCCTCAACTTCTGCGGGTGGAGGAAAAACCCCGAGCCGCCCCACGTGCTTCCCACCTGGGTTAGGCCCTAACACATCAGCTTCCCGGGTGTCCCCCAAGCCTTACTCTTTTTTTTTTTTTTTTTTTTTTTCTTTTTTTTTTTCCGAGTTCATTGCTTTGGAAACAAAGCTTTCTCTCTGCTTCTATTGACTGGGTGTCGAATTTCGGACCTTTCTCTATAGTGAGAGCCTACGACACCCTGCAAAGTGAATTTCCCCCTAAGATAAATTCTAAAGCGCCCCCACTCATTCCTTCACGCACTCAACAGATGTCGTCGAGGCCCATTTTCTGCCAGACGCTTAGTTCACAAGGCCCAAGGGACCCCCGGCTGCAGCTATTGTCGGAGTTGTCACGGGGGTCCTCGATCCCTCCACCCCAAGCTCCTTTTCTGCACACAGTCTCGGAGCTCCCAGCCGGTGTGATCTCACCGATGAGGGAGTTAAAACAGCCCCGTATCGTCTGCGCCCGCCAGGGCTCCTACCGGAGCCCGCGCGCACGGGTCCAAGTTCGCGCCCTGGCTTCCTGGACTTCCAGCCTTCCGTGCGGCCGCTCTCGGGCCGGTGCCCTCCCCGGGGGCGCACCGCCCGCCCTCCGCCCGACGGCGATCGTTTGCTGCGAGCCTAACCCTTTCCCGCCCGCAACTCCCACTGAGCTCGCGTGTGCGGGACCTGAGCGCGGACGCCATGGCCGCAGCTCGGCCCTCCCGCCCCTCTCCTTTTCCCAGGACTTCCTCCCCACGCCGCCCGACTTCAGGTCGAGGCCGCGCGGGGTCCGGCGCTCCAGCCAGGGCCGCGGCTGTCCCGAGTCGCCCACGTGGGCGTGCTCGGCGCGGGGCCGGGGCAGGCCGGACGCCCTCCCCGGAGCAGGGGGCGGGCAGG